AAACAATTGTATGTGTCTGAACACTTTCTGTTCTTAGCTGTGGCAGGCTTAAAACAAAGAATAGAAAGAGAAACTCTCCATTCATTTAATATAATATAACATGCAGAGATTCTATCAAAAAAGTACCCAAAACAGCAATAACAAAAAACCCAAAGAAAATCTCAACAGTAACAACAACAAAACAACCCTGCATAAAATTACAATCAAAATTAAAATCTACTTACAAAACACAGTATGTGAAAGTTTAAGTTTCTTCATTCCCAAATAAATTAACAGTAAACATGTACATATTTGTGTGTGCCATAACTGAGTAGACTGTCCTTACTGGAATGATAGAAAATTTTATAGGGGAAGTGTTAATCTATTTTAAGCCAATATAACAAAAAAAATTTTTATTATTATTAACTAATGAAGCTGGAGGAAAAAAATAACAAAAAAAAATCAGAAAAACCATTGCTACTGAGTAGTGCAGTAAGATTTTTCCCTACTGCATATAAAATTAATAATACATGCAAACCCTTAATTTTTAATTTAGATATCTTTAGACATATTATATATCACTATGAGTTACATATAACCACCCATAGAGAGAGAGTACAAACAGGTGCACATGACAGAGAATAGATGGAAATTTATGAATATACTACTCTTTATATAGATGTTCATTATTCCAACATGCATACATAAAAATCTTTGATCACTGGATGTTCAACTATGGTCTTCAAGGAGAAAACAAGAATGGGAAGCACTTTATAAAAAGCTTGTGCTAGAATTGTGAACTGAACTTGGTTGAAAAATGATACTGTATACATTGCTGAGAATCAAGGTCAAAAGTGAATTAGGAATCCAGGCCCTGAGTAATGAGGGCTTAGCACTTAGCAGAAATGACATGCCCAGTTTCCAGCTCAGAAGTGCCAGCTGACCTGCCAACCTAGCATTCCAGATCTGAAAGGGGGAAATCTGCTCTCCCAGCTACAGACAAGATGTGTACTACTAATTATTGCTCCTAGAGGCTTATGATGAAGTACAGTAGGATAGTTGTCTGGAAGCCAATTCTCAGACTAGAATTCAGGCGGCCCAGGCTGTAAATCTGTCTCACAAAAGTAATATAAGCAATATTCAAAAAGTCTTTCAGTGAAAGGGGATAGAAAGGGAAAGAGGCAGTTAGGCCATACAATCTATTGAGGTTTAACACTTGATTGTACTGGAGGATACTTCCAAAGGAAAAAAAAAAAACAGTAAAACAATCCTTCTGCTCATAGGAAAACCAAGGCGAATATACTAAAGTTATCCAAGAGGCCCTAGAGTCTGGTCTTGTTGATTAAATTAGACACCTGTTCATTTCTGACCTCTTCTGTCTTATGAGAACACATGTCAGCAAAGTCTTTACATACTCAAATTAACTCTAAATATTTGTAGCATTCTTTCTTTTTTCAATTACAATATTCTCATCAATTTTCTCATTTCAAAATCATTACCGATTAAGACACAGAAATGCCTAATGTACAAAAAAAAAATGAAAATACTGGACCCTGAAATAAAAAAAAAAAAGCTATTTATTCTGTGATGTTGGTAGTCTTTCCTCAGACTACAAATAATGCTAAAAACATACCTAAGGTATGCACCTTCCTGTATGAGGCGCTCGTGTTCCCAGTACTATACACAAGACATGACACTGGCTGAAGCACTATTATTAAAGAGAGATTAAAACAGCTGTACATTATGCTGAAGCACTCACTCTTCCCTTTACAAACAGACGGTCCTGGATTACAAGCAGCACTTGACCATTTAAATCACTACAACAACCAGATTTAGCCAGCTGGGCCATATTCTCTTAGGCAATGCCTGTTGACCTCCTCAGTCACAGCTGCTCAGATGAAATTCTCATCAGACAACTTGTTTTCAGAAGCCAAAGGACTTTGATTAAATATATCTATTTAGGCATGATAAAGTCTTCCAGTATATATTTCTTTTCCGATGTTATGAGGTACAGTGGAGACCAGAAGTAGTATACACAAGCATAACAGACACCTAATATCTGAATGCATATCACAAAGTATTTAAGTATTTGACCCCAGCAACTCATGTTACTCCAACTCAGATCCTGAAGATGGGCCAGAAAGCAACTATATAACAGTATTAAGAGACTTTTTGCTGTACTCTCATTGGGGTTAGATCCAGTGACTAAAATGCTTGAGTTCTTGACTCCACTTCTAACTCTACAATTAACTTGACATATGACTCTATATTAGCCCAAATTCCCCAGCTACATCAATGGTCACGGAGGTCATCCCTATAAAAGAGGCTCACATGAACTATTACATCTTTTTAAAGGAGTCATGCAAGACTTGGAGCCCCACACAATACTACACAATGGAAATGCACATCTTTTCCCCATTCAATTCATTAAAGCTATATATATTATGCTCTCGATTTGCTAAAAAAATCAGCTGGTGGTTTTTAATTCGGGTAAGGAATTTTGTGACATCAGAACTAAGTACACTAAGAGCTCTTCAGCTGCACTGCTTATGTACCATTTTTAAAAAAGAACTGAATAGAAACATATTTTAAAGGATAGGTGTTAAAGAATGTCATGTGTGGTATATGTGTGATCAGGCTATTAATTAGGTTGTTTAAAAGACACTATCAGATGGCAAAACAATTTTGTAATCTCAGATATCATTTCTCCAACTGACTGCACAGAGCTAAAACAAGTTGAGAGTCTTAAAATTTTTTAAATATTATTTTATTTTAATCAAACAAGTAGGGAGAATTTACTTCTTTTTAATTCAGAGAAACCTCTGAATACTGAAATAGGTATTCAAATCTGTCATAAAAATTTTGGTATTCCTGATCTACACAGAGCTTTAAAAGCACTGAACTTTCTAGGTGTAACATCCTGAAGAATTTCCAATCTTTCTATTAGTGATTTTTCTGAGTTAGTTTATATAATATCAGTCAGATGTTCATTATTTTCTCTTAAATGTAAGTAAACTTTTTTTCTTCAGAAAATACTGAATGAATTGAGAACTTAACCTAACTTCACAAAATGTCTTGGGTTGGAAGGGACCTTGAAGATCATCTAATTCCAACTCCACTGCCAGAAACACTTTTCACTAGACCAGAGTTCTCTGAACTCCACGCAAGCCGGCCTTAAACACTTCCAGAGATGGAGCATCCCCAGCTTTCTCTGGGAAAACTGTTCCAGTGTCTCACCACCCTCACAGTGAAGAACTTTTCCCTAATATCTAATCTAAACATGAAGATACAGTCAAATACCTTTGAACTTACAGGCAGACTTTAGAATAGCTTTCCAGTATAATGTGGTCCATAAAAGGCAAGATTACTTTATAGATCAGAAATGACCTTTATTTCACAACTGATGAGAAAATATAGCAGAGAAGGCTCCAACTCAGTGAGAGGGATCTCTGCTGTGCACACACCTCTCTTAAAGCAACTAATGTGTACTAATACAGAGGAAGCACAGAAAATTCTCCAAGATTTCATACAAAAATAAGCTATTAAATGCTTGAATCCATACAGCTTTTAAACTTTTTGATGCACATTTTTATTAGCACACCGTTCAGCATACTCCCAGAATAGTCTTAGTTGTGGTGTCAATATAATCAACAGCAACTTCTATACTCCAGCAACAAAGTAGGAGCCAAGACCTTTGATTAGCATGGAGTGTCGAACGACTGCTACTGACTGTAAAAACAACTTTGCTAAAGTAATATTTAAAATAGTTTTCCTAGTCTAGCCACCAAATCTAAGAAAGAAATTTTTTTAAAGAGTGATCTTTACAGCTGAAAACAGACAGATGGTAGCAAAGAATCTGGGACATTCTCTCTTTAGAGATGTTTCACCAGCTTCAGAAAGGATACCTATAGAACACATTTATCTATGTACTGGCATTTAACAATTATGCCAAGAAATTTGAAAGCCTACTTCCATCCCTATATGATTTTTAGCCCATATTTAAGCATACTATTGTATCAGCTTCAATTTTTATTGAAATCTACACTGATACATGGAGTCCAGGGAATCTAACCTATAGTGCACTGTTTGAAGTGCACTGTGATCATACCATGAAATTGAGAAATCAAAATAATTCTGAACTCCTTCATATTTCAAAGAAAAAATGGATCACAAAGTTCTACTGCCTTTTGGCTCTGCTACCTTACAAATAATCTTCCTGGGTTATTTTAATGCCACAAAGCAACGCTGGTAAAATAACTAAGAAAATCCACCTGTTTATCTATTTCAGAGCCTCCTACTCTCACAAATTCACTGATTCAAACTCATGTATGGGCACACAGACTAGAAGGTATTGTTGCAGAACCAAGATTTCATTCTACTTGACGTGTAGAGAAATTTTCATGGTGGGCCCTGACTGTGTGCACAGAGACACTGATAAACTCACTCTCCAATTCTGTTTGGTTCCTGCCATGGCCAAAATCATAGCAAAGTCAATGACAGTATCTGAATGAGGACTGAATACATAAACTACCTCAGCACTCAAAGATTTGTCCTTATTTTTATCTCTGTTTTAATACTTGTAACAATATCTGAGCAGACTACACAATTCCAGCTATGCAGGTTAGAACTATGTACTTTTAGATTTATAACTGTTTCCCATTCTTCTAGTTACAGATACTGGGTCATTAGGGTGATGAAAGATTGTTTAAAATGAACATTTATCTTTTAAAAGAAGAAGAACAAATACCACTGAAGAATATCCCTCACAACTCTACAACCTGTTAAGAATTCACCATAACCTCTCAAATAAGAGCTGAGTTTTCACCTAATCCAACATTCTTGCTTTGACACACAACCAAGACACTTTAAAAAGTCTTAAAAACTGGCATATTTGTCTAAAGTCCCTAAAGGACCTCAGATTACCACTGCCATGGAAACCTGTGAAAAACTTTATCCTAGCCGCTGCCAATTACGCAATTTTATGGCTCTTGATGCCCAACACGTCCTTTATGCTATAAAAATTATAGGGTTTGGGGGTAGGGAAACTGTATCAGTCTTTTCCAACACGTACCTTCTTGCTCAGTCCTGGTCATTTCTTCTAGTTTCTTCTGCTTCAGTGTGTCCACCACATCTGCCAGGCTTCCTTTGCGGCGTTCCGGTGTTCCAAAATTAACACTGCTCATTAACTCACTGCGGTCACGACCTCCTTCGTCGGGCTTGTTTGGTGAGGTAGAGGTATTTCGGAAGGAATATAGGGAACATAACTTATTACTCTCTGATTCCTGCAAAGAAACAAAACAGTGTGAAAACATAGGCTATTTTCTTACGGCAGAAGCATCTCTAACAGGTAAAAGCTGATAGCATTATTTATTAGTATCCTTAGTTCCTAAAATGACCATTATGATTTGAATTTCTTGATTTCAGTGCTTCACAAGGGCTCTTTCGTCCTTAAGCCCAGTTCTCTCCGCGCTTCTATCATACTTCATGCCATCTTCATCATCTTCATTAAGGGTTTTCCTTGTCAGGAACAAGCCACTTCAACACTTCTTAACAATGAACATGTTAAGCTTTTACAGTTTTTTTAGTTCCTTAAGTAAGGGTGATACATGTAGCACTACGAGAGAAAGCACCATCAGGGACAAATTATTCCTGCATAAATCCTCAGCTAGTGGAAAACAACATAACTTTAAAACTGGAGAGAGAGTTAAGCCAACAATGAGAAACAAGGAATCTACTTCACAGTTAAATATGGCATGGTATGTGTCTACCCATGCTCATTCACTTCTCTTTAAATTAAACATTATTTTTAAAGAATGAAGGTTAAAATGCTTCTAATATACAGAAGGAGGTGTTACTTTCAGGCCAACATAGACAAGAATGAGCAAGGAAATGAGTTTATGACAGAACAAGTCATGTATGCCAATACAGAGGTACTGAGACTACATGTATCATGGACGTTATGCAGTCAAAAGCCCAGAACTAAAAAGGGTTAATCTTCATTGCCAATAGATAGTGTTATTTGAGCAACAAGAAGAAGGAAAAAAAAAAAAAAAGGCACCAAGAAAGCAACGAATAAGGCCAATTCTCCTCAGTATTGTGTTGTCGCCCAGCAGTCAAGCCTTCCGGAACTTATCTGGCTCAGACTTCCCATTCTCCCAGCAATAGATGCAACATTCACTGCATCTCTGTTTTCGCAATTTCAGCTAAAAAGAGAACAAATTCTTCAATTTGCCCTCAAAAACTCAACCACAAAAATTTCTCACACACTTCCCTTTCCAAAATTACTCTTCTATTTTAATTTTTAATAATGCAAGGCTAGGATTGCTAAATATTTGGGCTAAAGAACTATTGGGTTGGGGTTTTTTTCATTTATGGTAAGCCTAGAAATGTCAGTGTGTATATTAGATTCCATGAAACATTTTCTTTAAAATTAAGGAGTAATAATAGTGGTAATACATTTAAAAATTAAGAGACAAATTAATGGTGTTGTCAAAAATCATTCACCCAATGCACAGCGTTCCCCGTAACAATAATATTCCTACTATTTATGAGCTGGAAATACCCACCTACTGAAGCAACCTGTGCTGGGAAATGCCCTAGGTGAAACAAGGTCTGAAGAAAGGCTAGAAAGCATTAACCTTCAGCAACAACATCAGATATAAATTTTTGCTTCAGTCTGGAACAGATCGAGAAGTAGCTGCGCAATGTAACAGGAGAAGTAACACCAACAATGAGCAAGCACAGTAACTGAGGGCTGCAGACTGTGCAGAAGGTGGTGGTGACACATGGTCATCAAGCACAGCAGTAGGTGATCAGCACAACACTGTTACAGCCCTTGGAGAAGGAGGCAGCATTTGCCAATGATGTTGCTAAAGTATTTATTAACTACGCAAGGGAACTAGAAGACACTATCGCACCCCAGTAGTAGCAGCACTCTGTCAACAATAGGAGTGACAAAGGTTTTGTAAGCACTAACAGAAAGAGAAGTGACACGGAACAGAAACTTCACCTTTGCTTTTTCATCTATCAAACATTAAAGAATTTTTCATTCCACATATTTGTATTCCTTAAAGAATGAAACATTACAAAGGACAACAATATCTTAGACTGGGTACAGAGATGAATTTCTTTACAGAATCACAGAATATTTTGAGTTGGAAGGCACCTACACAGATCATTGAGTCTCCAACTCCTGGCTTTGCACAGGACCATCCCCAAGAGTCACATCATGTGCCTGAGAGTATCATCCAAATGCTTCTTGAACTCTGTCAGGCTTGGTGCTGTGACCGTTTCCCTGGGGAGCCTGTTCCAGTGCCCAACTACTCTCTGGGTCAAGAACCTTTTTCTGATATCCAGCTTAAACCTCTCCTGACACAACTTCAGGCCATTGCCTCAGATTCTGTCACTGCTCAGCACAGAGAAGAGTTCAGTGCCTGTCCCTTCTCTTCCCCTCATGAGGAAGTTGTAACTGCTATGAGGTCTCTGCTCAGTCTCCTCCAGGTTGAACAGACCAAGTGCCCTCAGCTGCTCCTCATACATGTTCCCCTCAAGGCCCTTCACCTTCCTCATGGCCCTTCCTTGGACACTCTCTAATAGCTTAATACCTTTCTCATATTGTGGTGACCAAAACTGTGCACAATATTCAAGGTGAGGCCACCATTAAAATGGAGAGCTTTCACATATTTAATTGTTTCTGAAAACTATTTTGCATTTTTCTTAAAACTTGGTCTTATCACAGAGATGAAAAAAAGCATCTTATATTTTTCAAATTTAGAGCTTGAATTTCTATAACGTTCCTCAATGAAGAATTAATACTTTTTAGTATGCCATTTTCACCTTTGAAGATGACAGTATAAGAGCAATTTAATAATTTTAAAAGAATTTGTTCTCAAGAGAGAACATCCTCTTACAGCACATGAAGCACATCCATCGGGTTCAATCCAGGGGTTTTCATGCTCTCAACAAGAAGCACTAAATCTATTGTTTAGCCCAGAAACAAGAAGATAAGGCTAATCTGTGGAGCAAGTAGAAATAACTGAATGTTCTTCCTCCTGATAACATATCCTGTCCCTCATCTGGATGCATATATGGTCCAGCACAATGTTCCTTTAATAGTAATGAAAGACTCTCCAAGTCCTGCAGCACATTCACCCTTCTTTTTCTTGCCCAAGAGACTGCAATATCCATAACGAAGATCAGACAAGTTTAAACTCCATGCAAATGATACAGATTTATGAAATGAAGGCAGAATTACAGCCTTTGCAAGAATGAGAATTTGTCCAACTAATAGATTCTTTTATACTGTCAGTTTTGTGGTTATTTAAAACAAAAATAAAAGAATAAAATGCATTCCTAATATTTCTGATTCTGTTTAGCCCTACAGCTATAGTACTGGGGTCACTAAATGGCTAATACATTTGCAGTGCATTATCTGAATTGGCAATATAAGAAACCCAGCAAGGATGATTTCCTGAGCCTGATCTTTTTCTAAAATGAGAAATTATTTAAAGGCATGATTGAGGATCCAGCAGAAGAACTGTACAAACTGAAAGAAATTCAAGGGGCTAAACAGGCAAATGGAAAAACTGTAGACTAGTCTAGTGTAAATAACTTATGTAATAATAGCGGAACCCAGCTAGAAAAATCTACATCAGCTGCATGTACAATTATCTACGAGAAACAAATTCTTCTGTCTTCTTTGATTCTGGATTAGTCTGTGAATAACCTACAAATAAAATGTAACTAAAATGAAATATTTAAAAGGCTTCACAAGGAATTTTAGCTACACATTCAGAATAGATATTTTTTACTGCGATGTATCTATTGTTGGCAACTTTCTTTTCATTACAACCATATAAACAGGTTATTTTGACCTCACATTCATGGCAAACTAGACAGATCAAAACACAAGGGGGCAAGGGAAGTATTCCTGTTATTTTTTTTCCCTAGAAAGTTGACTCAACTGTATCTGGTGTTCCTGCAGCAGCATTCAGTTTGTTGAAAATCAAATAAATGTTGCAGCAAGTTTACAAAGGATTTTAATTTTCATGATGCATCTTATAAACTTTTGCAGACCAATTGTTGTGGCATGTCACACTTATGTCCAAGCACCTCACCCACTGCATGACCAAACCTGCAACTATCACTCACATAGATCAGATGCAGGCCTGGCTATCAAAAATGAATTTGTACTGACATTCACATGCAGCACAGAGAGACCCTCCTAATACATCTTATGGCCCAGGTACCCTCTGAAAAATGGACTAGTTGGATCACGTGTGGTTTGACACAAGAGGTGTATCACCCCCGCGAACTGTTTGTTGGACCTCTTGCTCTAATGCATAAAGTAATCTCACTAGAAAATCTGGAGTTCAGATTAGAAACGACCACCGTGCTCCCTATAATAGAACAAGATGATGAATTCATAGTTGGGAAAGGAGAACTTGGTCCTTTTGAATGTGGATATGGGAGGATTCACTGAAAAAAAAGATATCCTATCCTTAAGAAGGTTTATGAAGCCACCTTTTACAGAACAAGGAAGTCACAGTTTGTTTGACCTGAAGAGAGAAAAGAAAGGATGCTATTAAAGGTCTTTTCCATGTTTTTTCCCAGAGCATGGAAGAAGAGGAAAGCGCCTACCCAAGATCAGCTCAAGTTATTTCATTTTGCAAAATCCAAAACATGAAATTTATCAGCACTGATGAAAATTCTCCATGCATGCCAACTTTTTTCAGCATAACTGAAAAAACTTGATAAGAAAATGAACAAGAGAACACGATACAAGTGTCCATGTAACATATTCAGACACAATGAATTTGGTGCCCAAATTCATCCAGTTGCTACATGAAACACTAGACAACTGACACATCCCTGAAATCTCAGATTTAAAATTCACGTATTTCTGTAAAAATGATCTTTTAAGTCTAAACTTGAAGTAATGTCTTTAACACATGACATTCCCTTTGAAAGGTGCGTGCTTCAAGGTGTGTTATTCTTACAGTTCATGATTTCCACATAAGGAAGGAGAAAAAAACGGAAAATATCTTACAATCAGATAAATAACAAACATTTAGTCTATGGACAAGAGAGTTAACGCAGAGCATGCTTCTTCATCCAAGATTGGTGAAATTTGGTCACAATAAACCCTACACATTTTCAATCTTGACTACATTAGGATTAATTAAATTTTCAGTCAAGAAACAGAACAACCATCAACATTATTAATAATTCTCAGCATCAAAATATTATGTCCATCTGAAGCATATTTTACTTCTAGAAAGAG